GTCATGTTGGCTCGCATGTCAACCGCCGTTACAAAACGGTCACACTTGGGGGCAAAATATTGACATGTGATTGCATTTTGCAATAGTATCGTATGGTATTGTAATTATCGATATATATCGCGTTCGTTGAAAACATCGATAATATAACTGCTGACATCGATGATATTCCACCTCTAATTGGATGATTTTCATGAAAAAATCTTAATTGACTGAAAATGTGGGTTAGCTGTATTGTTTTCGCGCTCTGCTCGTCCTTGGTAGCAGTGAGGTGATAATCGGCCAGGACGAGCTGGTATGAAGTCTCCGGTCTTTACACCATTGAGGGCCGTGTCTCGCCGCCTGACAGCATCATTCCGAGAGGTCCTGGGTCGCCTGTGAATAAGGAGGCATCCAAATGGCAGACTGAGGTGACCGTTTCCATAAACGACGGCGAGTTCAAGGGATTCGTGCGCGAGGATGGCCAGTTCCTGATCAGCGGAGTTCCCGGCAGCTATATCCTGGATGTCCACCATCCTGATGTATTCTACGAGCCGGTGAGTGGCAAGATGCATTCCTTAAGGTGACGCCATTGACCCTTGTTATCCCGTTTTAAGGTGCGCGTCGAGATCAATCCGAAGGGAAAGTTCCGTGCCCGCAAGGTGAACTTTGTCCAGCCGGCGCAAATCATGCAGGTGCCTTATCCGCTGAGAATGAAGCCACTGATGCCCTTCAAGTACTTCCAGACTAGGGAGCAGTGGAAGGTAAGTTGTCTTCATTACGTAAATACTTCAGGAAAAACTAGAACTGTCTGTTTGCAGATTACCGACTTCCTGTGTTCAGCCCCATGGTGCTGATGATGGTTCTGCCCCTGCTGCTTATGCTGGTGCTGCCCAAGATGATTAACGATCCCGAGACCAAGAAGGAAATAGACAACCTGCAGTTCCCAAAGGTAAGTCCAGAGAACCTTCTAGATCCATTTAACAAGATTAACGCGGTATTTACTCCACAGATGGGCAACGACATGCCCGAGATCAGCGAGATGCTGACTTCGTTGCTGACGGGCAAGCAGCCGGAGCCCAAGGAGAAGAAACCAGCTCCGGCCACTAGACAGACGAAGAAGCGCAAGGAGCAGTAGCTAGAAGATCGCAGCAGCAGCAGCATATAGCGTTTAGCCTTAAAACTAAAGAGAGCAGCGGTGCTCACAGTCATTTGTTGGAGTAAATAGTAAATTTTCACACTAAACCAACAAAAGCTTTATTTAAGGAAACCAACTGTCTTGGGCCGCTTGGGTCCCACGCGGTCCTGCTCCTGCTTTAGCATGTTTCTGAGCAGAGTGTCCAGGTGCTCGCCAATGGACAGGCCCAGTTGAAGGCAGTTGCGCATGGTGTCCCGGTGCATAGCACCGCCGCCTGTCAGATGGGTGCCCGATAGGAAGGCTTCCCCATTGCGCATGGATACGGATACCACCATGCTGACGGTGCTGCAAACCTCCTCTTCCGCTGATGGGTCCACGAGGCAGAAGTCGCCAATCTTGCAGACGGTGACCAACAGAGGCACAGTGTCAATTCCAATGCGGGTGCAGTCGTACGGATTATCCGATATAATGAGGTCTGTGATGCCGGCGTCCAGTAGTGTGGCGGTCACCCGGGGCAGCTTTGTGTTGAAAAGTGCGGCCTTGGCGGCCAGGGATACGGCATCGTGAAGATTGCCACCGCATTCCAAAATCTGCCGGAAGAAGTCATTAAAACGTTACCAAAGCGTACTTATGAGCCTTACCAATATGTCTATATAGAGCTTCCAGCACTGCTGACCAGGATAAGGCACAATGTGCGATAATCAAAAGCCAGTGGTGATTCGTAGGCGTTTGAAGGGACAGCACCAGCTCCTGGGCCAAATCCGAGCCTCCACGTCCCTCGAATTCCGGCGTTGCATTGGCCGAGCTGCAAAGTGAATGGAAGTGAGGAGTATGCTAGATATAAGTCCAACCGATCTTCTTACCAATCAACAAAGAACTCTAGCTTGCCGAAATCTGGCGTCAGTGGATCGGGTACATCGATTTCCGTTTTTACACCCACCAAGATGTCTGTGTTGGCCAGGCGGAGGCGGGCAGAGCCACTAGCATTGCTCACCAGCCCCGTCTCCAGCTCCATAGGTCGGTAATCCCTCCGAGAACGCCCGTCGCATCGAAAGTCCTCCTAAAAACGTATTAGTAGGGAATCTCCTAGGAGTTCGAGTAGCTTACCTCCACGCCATGAAGGATAAAAGTCTTCTCCGCCTCGCTTAAAGCCACATATGCCATTTGTTGTTTGTTTTAATATATGTTTTTACGAAACCAAAACAAAACGTTCCGCGTGTGAAAGCGTACAAAGATATCGATGTTACTATCGATACTATCGAAGTTTAAAAAGAGCGATAAGTGCATTCAAATTGGAAGAAATAACGATTTTACACTATGCTTAGTATCGATTGCCTTGCAGCACATATTCAAATATAATTTGACATTTAAAAGACTGGAATTGAATTGTAAATTGTATAGTAAATTCCAAATATAAAATGGATCCCGATTTCGACTTTGACTTTACCCAAAAGCCCATAACACTGGCGTGAGTATTTGACTAATAACCATAAAACCCATAATCATCCATTGTTTCAGACCACCATTATGGCTGTGGAGTTTGACGGAGGAGTCGTGATTGGAGCGGATTCCGCACCAGTGCTGGCGCCTATGTGACCAATCGAGTCACGACAAGCTAACACGCATCACAGATAAGATATATTGCTGCCGTAGTGGCTCTGCCGCCGATACCAGGCCATAGCCGACTTGTGGCCTACTCGCTCAACTACCACGAGAACCGAACTGATAAGGAGGCTCTCGTCTTAGAGGCCGCTTCTGAGTTTCGCAACTTTTGCTACAATTATCGTGATTCACTGCTCGCCGGCATCATCGTGGCCGGATGGGATGAACAGAACGGGGTCAGGTGTACAGCGTTCCGCTGGGGGTATGATGACCCGCGATCCCTGCACGATTGGAGCTCCGGATCGAGTTTTATCTACGGCTATGTGAAAGAGCACCACAAACCCAATATGGAGCAGGAAGACTGCGTCGAGTTTGTCAGAAGGGTGGGTGTAACTTCGCTTCTTCTTTAATATAAAACCAGAACGTTTATCCTCCACAGCTGTCCAGCATGCCATTTACCGGGATGGAAGCTCCGGCGGAGTGGTACGTATCGGCATAATCAACAAGGATGGCTTTGAGCGCCGTTTATTCTACAACACAGAAAGTGGTGCCCCTAAGATCTCAGGCACTCGAAGTTTCATAATGGATCAATTTATGATGCAGCCAATTAACATGTGATATTGTAACTAAATATATATGCTACCATTCAGTAAACGGGTATAATTTTTCAAATAAACCGCCATACTATCGTTCATCGATGGTGACTAAGAATAATATATCAATTGACCTATCGTTGTTTCCCTGGAGAGAGTTTACAGAATGGTTCTTGAAAATATCGTCACTTTATTATTAACAAATTCTGAATGTTGAAAATCATATTCGTTCGGACAGTCTGCGACGCAATTTTCGCATAAATCAACAAAAGGCAAACATTTCTTACCCACTATTTCTTGACAGTGAGTAAATATCGATGCTTAAAAACATCGATACTGACAATCGACGTTCTTGCAGCTCTAGTCGGTGCATTGGATTTTATTTCATAATTGGCAGAGAAAAAATAACTGATATTTACGAAAATGGAGCTTTCTGAGGAGTCAAGGAGCGTCTGGGAGTCGTCGTCGGCGCCCTGCAGACCACATTCCACTGGGGATTCGTGCCCTTTGTGTTGTATTTAGGTAATTTCTTACTTTGTTTTCATGGTCCCACACGCGGCTGGCAAGAAGAAGCACTTGCTTACATTTGTTGTGGGATATAAGTTATAATTTTTTGCAATATCCGCAGGCTTCAGGAGGGTGCCGAGCCCGGCATGCCCCCTTGACCATCTTGAGTCTGTTGTGGCAATAGATAATCACTCTCCGACCGAACGCAATGTAAAATTCACGATGTGCGCTCTGCATTTCTGTTATGATGGATTCCTGGGCACTTTCCTGGTACCTGCAGTTGTAGGAAATAAAGTTATGTTAGATCAAAACCAAAATTTATCATGTATCTTCTAGCAAGCGATTTTCCAACGAAGAAGTTAATGTTGGGAGGTGGGAGGATTTACGATATTAGCATGTGGTATCGTAATAATGGATAACGTTGCCAGATATCACGATGAATAGGGAGCTTACGACAATAGTGCTGCCAGACCATCCGGAGAAAATCGCTCTTATCACGGCAGTCACACTCGCAAAGTTTCGGTCACACTGCAAAATTACACACACAACGCGGAGTTTTCGCTGCACAAATTTGTATATTTAACATAAAATAAAGGCAATTAATACAAACAACGGACGGACAAGACACCTCGAAGTGCCGGCCACCGCGGAGAATACAAAATTATTGCAAAACGGCGGAGTGTCCAACTAAAATCACGTGATGAAATCCGCCTGAAAAATCGCACTCGCCTCGTCCGTGAAATGTGAAGCAGTTTTTCCATCCAAATTGGGCGGAGTGGAGTGAAGTTCTAGTTCTAATTTGGTGGGCCAGTTGTCCACTTGCGAAGTCTTGCAAAACGTATAAAAGCAAGACAGAGATGCCCTCGCAAAATGTGAGAATCGGCGGACGCGTGTCCTACCCGATAAATGCGCAATTCGGGGCCAATTAGTGGCTGTCTGCGGTCCTTCTCCGCCTCCTGCTCCTTCTCCTGTTGCGGCAGCTTCTGCTTTTGCTGCTGCTGCTGTTCGTTTCCCAACAAAACAGTGAAATCCGCGGGCCCCAGACTTTGAACTTGCGCCGCGCTCTGTTTATGCCCATGTGTGTGCGTGTGCGTGCGATCGTGGAAACAAAGAAAAGCCCCAAAGCAGCAAACATAACAATAGGCACACAGCGCTCGAGTCGCACTATCGATGCGCGCACAAACATGTTATCTGTGCACCGGCTAATCTTCCTGGGCGCTCTGCTCGCTGCCGCCGTAGTCGGTGAGTTGTGCCTTCCACATCCCTCCCTACGAGAAAAACCCCCGAACCCCAAAACAGGTGCGAAACTAACCTAAATTCCCCCCAAATCCATCTCTCACGCAGCCTCCCCCATCGAATGGGTGCTGGACACTAGCCAGAATGGCTCCCGGACTGCTGTCGAGCCCGCCATTGCATCTCGCGTCAATGCCAAATGGCAGCCGACCAGGGCGCCAGCGGTAAGGGCGGCAAACGGAACAGCTGGCCCGGCTTATCACTCGCCATCGTCGTCGCTGTCCGCTGATAACAGGATCATGACAACAACAGCAACAACAGCAGTGCTGTAGCCATGCTGCTGCCGCAAGACGGTGACGGACCTGGAGCTCTTGCTACGGCCGCTGCCACCCAGCTGCCCGTCTACGTTGCCCAGCCTAGCGCGAAGAAGCCAGAAAGTAAGTGCGACTTTGCCATAGTAGTTCTTTGACGAAGTTAATTTTAAATTATTTTCATGTTGAATTCGTTTAAAAAGAAGGGTTAATATATTAGGATTTAAAACTATTATACTATTTTAGGGAGAATTATTAGGGATTCCTCATGGACAGTCCTACTTTATCTAATGCCAATTTAATTAATCTTGGCAGCCGTTTTTTCTGAGTGCATCTCGCGTGACTGTAACACCTCTAAGACTCTGAATACTCCTAAAAGGCCTTCTCCGTCTCCGATTCCATTTCCATCTCGTGACGTCAGCTTGGCGCGGTGTCAATGAGCTGAGCCAGACAGCTCTCGTGGCCCACTCCAACGCTGCTTTGCCAGCAGACACCCCCACGTCTGGATGCATTTGCTCGTTGCCACTGCAACTGCAGTCGGCGCAAAAAAAAAAACAGCCTAAGCACCGTGCCCGAGTCCGGGGGAAAGGGAAAACTGGTCGCATTGTCTGGCCCTCCACTTTGCACTTGTCTTCTCCGCGTCTGCTTTGTTAATGCTAAATGGTTTTGTTTTTGTTTCATCACGCTCTCGGCGGTGTCGGTGGATTTGGATGTGGATGTGGCCGTTGCTGTGGCGGTGTCTGTCTACTGGGCAAGCGTGTGCTCGTCCAGGTGCCCCTAGGCATGGTTATGGCAAATCCACGCTTGTGGCCACCGCCAAAGGAGATGCCAATCAGCGAGCGTGTGATTTATGGAGCTTTTCGTTCTCTAATTAGTTAATTTCTTGCCAGCACCTAATTGATTGATTGCCCAATCAGATATGAATCCGAGAAGAGGGTTAAATGACGTCTAGGTTATTGGAAAACATGTTTATTTCACTAATAAATTGGTAAATTTGTATATTAACCATATAAGTTCAAATACAATGATCTTATATTTTAAACAAGCATAGAGTTTGGAAATCTATTATGCTAGTTTTTTCCTTGTAACACAATTAGGATACTTAATGGAAATAGCTGCTAAATTCTTTTTATTATGCCTTTGCAGGGTATTATAATTTTAGTCAGAAGCATGAAAGCTGTGAAGGAGTCATTTTCGACCCTATAAATCATATATATCTTAATCAGCATCAACTGCCGAGTCGATCTAGGCATGTCGGAAGGAAACAAATTTTTATCAATTTTTTCAACATTTTATAGGGGTTACATCATTAAAATTGTCAAAAATTGATAAAAATGTTCATTTACTAAATTTTCAATGAAGTATGCAGATTATTAACTTTATAAAACTAGCATAGATAATTTTTCCGATTTTAAATTAATCATTTTTTTGGCTTAGTTATAACTAGTTAAAGTTTGATTTGTCGGTGAGATTGTCTTTCAAAATTATTGATAAAAACCTATATCCAAATCGATCCTAGAATTCAATTCCAAACCACAGGGTATATAAACTTTGGCTTGTTCTTGTTTTCATTTAATTTCCTCGTTTATCATTAATAAAAAGGGTTTATAGTTCATAGTTTACTTTTCAAAAAGGCATCATATAAAAATGTTATTAAATTTCGATGTAAAGTTCTTAGTAAAGTTATAATAGTAATTTTATAATCAATAAAATGTTGACTCTCCGAAGTTAACTTCCTTTATTGTTAATCTTTAGATCCTACAATTATATTTGTTTATTTAATGTTTATCTTAATCATTCCCTTTCTTTTGTGATCCTTAGTACTTATCAAGTGCCACTGCGACATCTGTAAAGAAACGAACCATATATGCGAGACGGATGGCTTCTGCTTCACGTCGGTGGAGAAGAACGCGGACGACACTATACTCTTCAGTTTCAGGTGAGTACCGCCCCGTTGCGTAGGTTAGCACTCTTTCCCCCGAGAGTTAGCAGCGCCAGTGAATGTGATGTGTGTCTTTATGGTCTGCGGCGGTCTGCAGATGCCTGAACATGTCGCAGAGCTTTCCGCCGGGCCGCTTTATCTGGTGCAATGAGGGCAGGAATGGCGGACCCACCGCCCGTCCGGTGGCCCGGCGTGGCGGACACGCCTGCTGCAACGACCGTGACTTCTGCAATCGGGATCTACGGCCCCTGATCAAGAGAGCAAGCCGACCAGGCTGAATCCCTCGCACATCGAGTTCGAGGACGGGCGGCTGGCGTCGGTGACCGTCGAAGGTGCGTGCGCTTCTGCACGTGTTTCGCTCCCCCAAAAAAACAAAAAAAACCCCCCTTCTGTCTGACTCGTGATTTCCAAATACCCGTCTGTCCCTCTGTTCACTCGCACGTCGTTCGCAAAAGGCAAAAACAAACAAATGAGTTGCCCAGTTTGATCGTTCTTTGGACTGCTTTCCACCACCCAAGTTTGCCCGTTGAGTTGAAGTTTTGAAATGATCATAACCCGCAAATGCAGAGCACTACTAATGAATATACCTTCTGAGAACCAGAGCGGCGTTTTATAATGCGTTTTAAGTATAATTATAATACTTTTATTGCTACTAACCAGACTGAAATCTCAATTAGCAAACACAAGCCGAAAGACACACACCGTCCAGCAAAGAGAGTGGCCGCAGCATCGGCAGAAGCAGCAGCAGAAAAAGCAAAAAAAACCAACAAACAACCAATGCCAAGCAATACTAATTTGTTTTTTAATTGTTATGTTTTCTATCTCTCCCCCCCGCCCCGCCACCAAACGCTCCCTCCTTCGCTACCCCTCGCGGCCCCATAAATTCGAAAAAAATATATTGAAAACGATTGCAAATAGATGCATGGAAATGAAATACGATATGCGGCGTATTCCCTTCGAGTGCCTCACCAGTAGCCTCAAGTACGATACGTATAGGATTGAGTGTTGTAAGAATGACTCTGCAATAAGAATGAGTTAATGAAGAGGCTATTTGAAAAAGGTACAGCAACATTCAAGTAACAAAAACCAAACACACAACAATACAATTCTCTCCTTAGTTTGCACTTCTATTTCTCTAAACAACCAACCACAACTCTGCCTAATTATATGCACTGCATCTTCTGCAAATAAAAAACAAAACAATAATGATAATCAATAATCTGTAATAATACTATTTTTTTTTTGTTAGACTAGTCTGTTTTTATTATATTCGTTTAGGCTCAGAGTTTACTATTTACCCTAACTATTTGCACTTTTTATTCGCTTTTCGGGCCTCCTCCTGTACTCCTCCCCTTATTGTTTCCTTACTTTACTCTTCGCTTTTCCTGTGGAACACACAACACACACACACGCCCGAGATCTTCTACGGAATCTTTAGCTTACACACCTTATCCTAATTAATTACACGTAAATCTATGCATGCCCAAGTATCTATGCAAAGTCGAATCGAATGTTTGTAGTTTGTAGATACTTAAATGTACTTATATTTGCTCGATTTTCTCCTCTGGCAAGGTCTTTTGCTCGCTTTCGTTGAGGGAATTTGCACTTTCTGCAAGTTTTCCCACCATCACTATCAATTTGGCAAGGTATCGGACTGAAAGTGAGCTCTATCTGTCTCGAAGTTTATATCTTGCTGGAGATTATTGTGTTCCCTTGGTTTTATTATCCAATTAGCCTTGAAAGACCTCGAAAGTTAGGTAGGGAACTGACCTGATTATCCGGCATAGAAGTATATATCTCCCACCTTATCCGCATTTGGCAGTGGTCTCCCCCTTCCCAAACATTCTCCCGGGTTTTGTGATATCCCACAGACTCTGCTTATTGCCTCTGCACTGCAAAAAACACAATGGAATCCACCTGCTGCAGCTGAAAATCTATCCCCCACCTGGCCCCACCCTTACCCGTACTCTATCCCTTGGCTCTCCTGGCTAAAATGTTGCTAAAATTTGTAGCTTGTAAGTGGTAACAAAATAAAAAGCTGCTTTGCAACAACTGCACACAACCGCAACAAACAACAACAAGAACAACTCCAAGTGCTAATCTTAAACCCCAAAAATAAACGCAATATCCTAGAACCTAACTTAGATGTATTACTAAAACCAAACACCAGCTAAAGCAAAGCAAGTAGTTAAACGCAAACCCCAACTAAATATTATGTATGTAGATGCCTGCACGCAGGCCACTTGCCACCCGAAGATCCGACCTCGTGCAAAGTCAATTCGCTGACAGCCGCCACAAAGTGCTGCAACACAGACATGTGCAATACGCGTGAGAATTACAGTGGTGTCCTACCAGGTGAGATCAGCAATGCACCAGCAACACCAGAAACCACCTAAATTAAAAAAGAAAACACAACAAATTATATATCCCACCACCAGCCATCGAAGCGCAGCCACGCCCATGCCATTGCACCACCTCATTTGCGTAGTTTTTTGTCTGTTATTTATTTTTTTTGTCTCCTTGGTATACTCAAATTTGTAACACATTGAATTCATACAAGAAAGGAATATATACACATATAAATATATACGCATAAGCATATGTACCTGGCTGACACACACATACACACATTTGCACACACACCTACGCTTTTAGCGCTGTCCCCCTGTCCCCCAGCCACATGCCCCTCCACGTCCTTGTTCGTCCTTCGAGAGGGGGAATAGGTGTAAGAGATGAATATGGCCTGTTCCCGAGTTCTATTTCGCTGGAGTTTTAAGTCAAATCTTGCAGTTTCTATTTCAATTAATTTTTAAATGCATAATTGGTTTAAATATATTTTGTATTTGTTTTATAATCTTTAAAGTAATTTATAGTGATAATTACGAAAGAATATATGATTGTTACTTTTGAATAATAATTCCAATATAAGGTTTATATTCGATAATGATAAATATAGTTCTTATACAACATTTTATTTATCCAAAGGATAAATGTTCAATGGTAACTAGTAAATTTTAGTTTTTATTTCGATAAACGACTAATAACGAAATCGGGAACAGGGTTCTATATAAATTAAGCTCATATTATTTCGTTGTTTTTCCCCTGTTTGTACGTCGAGTTTTCTTTGGCACATCTCATGTGTATTACACACGCACCGCATTGTTACCTTGTCTGTGGCCTCGTCTGGTGGCCCGCCAACCCACCAACGCCACCTTTCACCTGTCAACTTCTAAGCGTTGCTGCACCGTTTTGTGGCTTGTCTGCTGACCTGACCTTTTGAGTCATCATCGTCGTCATCGCATTGACTTGTTAAAACGCATTTGAGAAGGAAGTAAGCAAGGCATTCAGCGTGGCAACAACAAACCTGTCTCAAGGGCCGCCGCCGGCAACAGCAGCAGGAAGAGGGGGTGTCTTGTTGGCCCCACTCCACCCCCTTTCATTCGCCCACTCCCCTTAATTGTCTGTGTGTGAGTGTGTATTTGTGTCTGCCCTTTTTGTGTTTATGCAGTTTCGCCATTCATTCATGTGTACTGCCGCTGCCAAGCCTCTGTTGCAGTTGCAGCAGCAACAACAGCAGCAACAACAGCAGCAGCAGCAGCAACAGCAACAGCACAGCAGTAGTCGCAGTCAACGTTCTCTCATTTCATTCATTAATGGCCGCATTTTTACCCGCGTCTGCTGCTTTTCATACTTATTGCCCTCACTGAAGTTATATTAGCTAGCACATTGTGTTTCCCAACTTAGAAACAAATTAATTTGATTACAAACACTTCTAAAATAATTCAGGATCCATTTAATTGGTAATTCTTATATTATTAGGTATCATTTATACATTCAATTTAATTTATGAAAGATATTTCCAAAACACTGCTATTATTTGAAATCCCGTTTAAAAGTATAGTTTAAAAAATTCTCCTAAGAATTTACCAAAACCTAAAAGTTTTCTTTCTGTGTTTCAGATTTTATGGGATTTTTATTTTCTCTATAAATGGTTCTAGCCGAATACCTATTATTTGAAACCCTTTCATAAAGAAACATACAAGAAAATGTTCTATAAAAAATTAAATTATAAAGTCAAGACAGATTAGCAATAAGTTTAATACCTCAAATTCTTTATAATATAAAATTACCACCAGTGTAATGTGATATCAAATCCCTAGTAGTTTTATAGCAACGCCATATATATTATAAACATTTTTTTTAAAACTTCTGTGAGGGCATTTAGGTTTCGATTCAAACAACGTTGTTTCATATTGTTTTTCGTAGTGGTTCGCTCATTTCCATCGCACTTTTGTGTTTGTTCAGTGGGAGGTTTGTACGTGTTTGTATGAGTTTGTTCGTCTGCGGCATATCTCTGTTCGGAATTGGGTTTGGATTTGGTTCGTTTTGTTTCTCCGTGAAACAGCCAAAAAGTACACAAAGGCAATATCCTTGCTCTAGCTCCTTTTTTTTTACATTATTTCGTAGTTTTGAAGTAGTTTTAAGCTCGTGTCGTGCTATGCCAAGGTTTGTAAATAACTCCAATAATTATGTGCAGGTCAGTGCTGTTTTTGTACATAAACTATACATTTAAGTTTTACTAATCCCGCTAATTATGTCTGGAATGAGCTTTTGGGTTCGGATATGTTTCGTTTCGTTTTGCACCCTGATTTCTACCTGTTATCACGCACATTTACCTCTTAACAGCTTCCACTGCATGACTAACTAACATTCTGCATACTCTTTGTATTTATTTTCCATTAATTCTCGCACATCTCAATGAAGTTTCTTTTGCGGGCTATGCACTAATGATCTTTCCTTCGACTCTGCCAGATCTTATGCCTTCACGACACCTGAGCAGTTGGGAGTTGGTGGGCATCATCGTGGGAGTCACATTGTTCATCTGTGTCTCAGGTACCAGTTCCTGGTATTATTGTCAACGCCGCAAGCGTTGGCCAGCGGCAGGCCGTTTGCCAAGGAGGATTCGGTGTACGATCCATACTGAATGGAACACAACCATTCACGACATTATAGAGATGACGACATCTGGTTCGGTTCGGGTGAGTTCCATGGCGGTGTCTGCCGTCTACATCCTTCAACCCGGAGCTAATTTCGTGTGCTTCTTTTCAGCTGGGCTGCCTCTGTTGGTGCAGCGTTCCATTGCACGCCAGGTGCAGCTGTGCCATGTGATCGGAAAGGACGGTTTGGCGAGGTCTGGCGTGGACGCTGGGTGGTGAGAACGTTGCGGTCAAGATCTTCTCCAGCCGAGAGGAATGCTCTGGTTCCGCGAAGCGGAAATCTATCAGACGGTAATGCTTCGGCACGAGAACATTCTGGCTTTATAGCTGCGGACAACAAGGGTGAGCCTATCAGCCTGTGCCAAGAGACTTTTTCTCAATACTCATTCCTCCTTTGAAACCATTTCCTTCTCAGACAATGGAACCTGGACCCAGCTGTGGTTGGTTACCGATTACCATGAAAACGGATCGCTCTTTGACTATCTGACCACGCACACGGTGGACACCAACACCATGCTGAACATGTCGCTGAGCATTGCTACGGGTCTGGCCCATCTGCACATGGATATTGTGGGCACGCGCGGCAAGCCGGCCATAGCCCACCGCGATCTCAAGTCAAAGAACATACTGGTCAAGTCAAACCTGAGCTGTGCCATTGGCGATTTGGGTTTGGCCGTGCGACACGTAGAAAAGGATGACTCAGTGGATATACCCTCAACGCATCGTGTCGGCACTAAGCGATACATGGCACCTGAGGTGCTGGACGAGAGCATGAATGCCCAGCACTTTGATTCGTACAAGCGGGCGGATGTGTACGCCTTTGGCCTGATACTCTGGGAGATTGCACGACGCTGCAACATGGGCATGATCTACGATGAGTACCAATTGCCCTACTACGACGCCGTGCAGCCGGATCCCAGCATCGAGGAGATGAAGAAGGTAAGCCTTCCGAGGTGGTGATACATTTCTGGCTACATCTATGATTCCTTTGTAGGTCGTTTGTATTGAAAAGAGTCGACCGAATATTCCAAATCGTTGGCACGCCTCCGACGTTCTCCACAATATGGCCAAGGTGATGAAGGAGTGCTGGTACCCCAACCCGTGGCCCGCCTAACAGCGCTACGCATCAAAAAGACACTCGCCAGCATCAGTGTGGAGGACAAGGTCAAGAACTGATTGTGGCTCTAGTTCGACGAGGAGGATTGGAAGTAAGCGTACATTAGTAACCTGTAACCTGGCCCCGTGTTACCTTAAATGTCCTGGCAGCGCCTGCGAAGCAGTTCCAGAAATACAAAGAAATTTGTAAATATTAAGTGCTAACTCATCTTTAACGTTTCCCATGCTTTGCTTTGTTATTAGTTTCGCGTTCTGAACTATTGTACATAACCTTCGTTGACATTTCCCCCGAGATTCGCTCGTTTCCGGGCAGCGTGAGCAGGGCGGCGCACCAAAGGAAACTGCCGCACTGCCATTAAAGCTACCAATTAGGGCCTAGTTGTATGCCATCAAGCCAACATTTTATACAACATATATTTTTTATAAATCCTGTTCCAGCTAACGAAACGAAACGATAAATACAAAACGAGAAATACAGTAAGACTTTGTCAAGACTGAGCAGCAGTGGAAAGCAGTGAAAACCAAGCCCAAAAAAAGAGAAAAAATAAAAAGCAGCCACAACCAAGAACATCAGAGAGAGATTTAAAAAATTGTAGCTCTAAAACCAACAAAACACTCAGGAAATCGTAAAGTAAAATAAAGTAAAAAAATAAGTAAAAATTTATTCAATTTGGTGCGCCGCCCGCTTGCGTGCAGTTTCAAGCCTATGCCGCTTTTGCTGCTGCTGTGCCTCCCTAAGTTTAACTTATGTATATCGAGCACTTTGCCCATTAATGTACACCCATACGTATAGCGATTGAGCAGAGCTTACCCTTTGTTAACCTAAGTTACAACTATTTTAGAAATGTCTACATCAGAACTCTCAACCATTCTTCATCTTCATGCCTGCCTATTTTTTGTTATTTCATCTGTGTTCACTTTGCCGCATTTAACATTCACCTCACCTATCCTTTACAATGATATGTTTCTTGTTCTTTTATAACCAAAGCTTGTTCTTCCTATTTTATTTTAGTCGTTAAAATAAAGCAAATTATACAAAAACTAAGATTATTACGAAGAAATATATATAGTATGTTTATATATGAATTGTAAACTATATTTGCTTCGTTTGTAAAGTCCAAGGAACTCGATGAACAAAACCTAAATAATTAATTTAAGTCTGTAAACACACACATACACACAGTTCAGTGAGTTAATTAATTTGTCACACCAAATGCCATAAAGCTAAATGAGTCCATTGTCAAGGTTTACCTGCATACAGAAACCATAACCAGAATGCAATAGTAGTTTCCACATAACACACACATTTCCTCAACCCACACACAGTCACACACACACGCCAGCTGAGAGATTAAAGTAAACATTAATTAACATTTTAATCATTTCGATGTAAGCTACACGAGTAAGCGTTTGTATGATCAGTGCATGCCAGATTGTAATTAGGATTATAAATCAATTTTAGCTATTATACATAGAGCATATTGTTACCTTTCGGCCTGCGAAATTTAATTTTCCTATTTTAATTTAGACATACCGAAGTTAATCATTTCCTGTACGATTTCTTTGGGAAACAAAAATCTAAACTAAATTTTTTGTTAGCTTTACTCACAAGCATACGTATATTTAGTTTTTGAAACTATTCCTGTAATTGTAAAATCTGTAAATAGTCTGTGCAGTCCGTGGGTGCGAGTCAAACACGAAAATCGAGAAATGTTTGACTGTGTTCCGACCTAAGTTTAAGCCGAAAGTTGTTTTTAAGACAAAAAACCCCCAAAAGAGTCCTCCCTTATGGGGTATTTCCTATAGCCCATAGCCCTAGCCCTTGATCCAAACCAAAAAGAACTTACTTTGAACTGAGTTTAAGATTCAATTAAAACCGAAGAACACAAAACAAAAACAAAAAACAAATAAAAAAGAAGGAAAAGACTTGAACAATGCGCAAAAACATGAAAATATTAATTTACACAAAAAAATAGATCCTATTTTGCTGGCAAAAACATATTTTGGTTCGAAAATTTTCAAGATTTAATGAACTAAAACGATGAAGTTTGTGTTAGGCTCAAGTAAGCGTAAAATGTCTCAAGCGAGCGCACTTTTGTAATGTGTATTAATCGTAAAAAAAGGATTGGATTGGATCATGAGAGATATTTAGACAGATCGAGTGGTACGGAATGCTAGAGAGAGAGATTGGAATGATTTACTTGGGTGTAATGTTAAAAACAAAAGCGTTAAAAGTGTAAACAGAGTCTAACTTTTAGCTTTAAGCTGCGTTTTTACTGGCACTTTAAAATAAAAATACAAATATGAAACCAACCGAAAATATTTGTGAAAATAAGACCTATTATTGTGTGTTTATTTATTTGGAAATTATTATATTGTATCTGCGATCCCATACTGTGTCTTACAGCTGTGGCCTTAAATGCTTAAGGCTATTTGGGTTTTAATTTAAAGAAACAAAAATTTCGTGACTACCATTCTTACTTTTAAGTATAATTTATTTTGCCCTGGGCTTGGGGTTCCTTGAGTGTTTTTTCCGAACCACAAAAGTTACAAAATCTAATTGAATATATTTATTTGTGCATACGGCCTGTGTGCCTTGCATATTTTATTCCCCATCCATGAGGGGGAAAGCTTTTATTTAAATTTATCCTGCCCCATACTCTTTGTTTGCTGAAAAATGTATAGATTTTGTGGAGCAACAGGTGGAATACAGCTGGTATAATGAATTGAATGCTCTTTGCTAAGTTTATTTATTGTATTCGATTTACATTTAGACGTGAAAACGATATAATTGTTGCTTGAATATGGTAAAGAATCATTGGATAACGCGTCTTGCTGGTAATAACATTGAATGCCTCAGTCAGTATATTTGGAGTTTCTACTAAAAACACATTGAGATATCTAAGTTCGTTTGAGTAAGTAAACTTTGTACGCGAGTAAGTATTCATATGCTGATTATTTAAATCCGATTGCTATAGGCTACAGCAATTTTAAGATTGATATGTATTCGTTTAACAATATTATGATATGTTTGCAATATTGTAATAATTTCGTCGGAAACGCTCACACATCGTTTAAGATACTTCAATCGTTTAGCTGTCTCATTTCCGGTTTGGATTCGTTTGTCGCTGTCATTTTTAGAACTGTGTGGTGTGGGCTTTAATTGCGATGATACTGCTGCAGGGAAGTCTAAATGTTAATTAAAATGGTTATTAGATATATTTTTACTAACCTCTGATCCGACCATATCCACACAGTCAAAGGCGTCGCGAAAGTAGCCACAGCTCAGCTTGATGCTGCCCCGGTGGTGCAACCTCTGCTGCTGGCAGCACATGCCACTGGGAGGTGCGTCATGAAATAATTATTCAATGATTATAATCCTATACTTACTTGATCACCTGACAGTCGCTGCTGCTGCTGCACTCGCTGCCCAATGGCTGCTTCTGTCTCATCCCGAAAATGTCCTCCATCAGGGATGTGGGGCTCCTGTTCCGGTTCCATTTCACACCGCCAGATCCCCTCCTGGGCCACCAACATGCAGGCGCTGCCTTGCGGACAGTCCGAGTGGCGCTGGCATAAATCTCGCTGCCTTCCGAACACGTAAACGCATTTTCCCTCTGGAGAGTAAGTCAAATGCACTTGAAATAAAATACCTTTCCTTTCTTCAAAAAATAGTTAAGTTTTTAAACCAAATACTAGATATGTGTTTAAATTAATTAATTCAAAATATGAAACCAATATTCATACTTTTGTGAAAGTGTAGCGGGTTGAAACGAATGGGTAGTGCAATTAGGCCAACTTACCGCCATATGTGTTGACGCAGACCCCAGAGGGACAGCAGTCGTCGTTGAGCAGACAGGCGCGGTCCGCGCAGGGCGTGTCCTCAATCAGCGGCTCCACAATTCCATAGACCTCGGTCTGCTGGCGCAGCTATATGGTTGGGATGGTAGGGTACGGTAAAAGTGGTGGCAATTAGAGGAGCATTTGTTTCAGCCATCCGCCGTCATACGGTGCGTATGCGTTATATTCACGCCTCCATGCTTCCTGCTGCTGCGATGCAGCAGTCGGTTATCAATAATGCTGACACTTGTCGTGCGTTAATTAATTTGAGCATCGCCGTGAACTCTGAACTTTGGCTCTTGATTGCCAGCATGGAGCCAAAAGGGCCAACAAAAAAAAGCATGCCGAGAATCCTTGGCTCCAATTTCAATTTGCTGCAAAACACTGAACCAAATGCCTTTGGCTATTTGTGGCAACACTGCGTATACGCATTGGAGTTGGTTCATGCCACGTGGCAGGTTCGGCTAAGAAAGCATTTAGCAGGCAGGAGGAATCATTTTGAATGTATTTCTAACTCAAATAACCCAAAGCAATAAAATAATATGAGGCTTAGTCGAAAAGCATATGCAAATGTTTGAAAATGCGGTTCATATTCACTTTAGTTTAATCTTGTTATTTAATGGTAATGGCTTTGCAAACGGCTTGTTTTATTGTGGAAAATGTTTTTGGGGGTTTCAGTAATAAAGGGGAACTTGTATTGGCTTGAAACTTATTAAAGAACAAGAATGAAGCTAAGTTCGGGGGCCGAATTCCGATCGATTATAAGTATGCCAAAAATTTAATAATTTCAATTCGGAAAGCTGTTCTGTGCTAGTTTTTATTTGGTTAATATATCTGCATCTTTAATTTAAAATTTTAAGAAATTACAATTTTTGTATATTTTGGACAATTTTAGTGATCTAACCCCTTATCTATTTTTGAAAAAATTTAAAAAATGCCGAATTTTTTTTTAACCAGACATGGCTAGATCGATTCAGCTCTTTATTCTGATCAGTAATATATATGTTTTATAGGGTCGAAAACGACTCCTTCGCTGTGTTTTAAGCTTTGACTATCAGAAATATAGAATAAATTCGTCCTGAAATTAACAACTTATTCCAAGAATAATCCTGGCTTCTTGCATTATCGCCATTATGCCAAAGGAAAACTAATTATTTTCCTGCAGCATTCAATCTGTATCAATCTCTGCCTTTGATTGCAGGCTTCAAGGATTCCTTCATGCAATTACTTTCGATTACCGACCCACACTCACCTGCTGCGGCTGGGGTAGCGCTTGATGTGGCTCCCTCAATTCCCGCTGCTCCTGCTCCATGCCACCGAAGGGAGAGAGTAATCATTGAGGCCGCCATCTCCGGCGGCGGGAAACTGGGCTCGGCGGTGCATCATGTTCCGGGAATCGCGTCCAAATAGCGCACGCTGCCAGGCATTACCAGTGGTAAACGAGGAGGAGGGGCCCGTGGCCAGCGAGGGTCCAGCTGCTGGGCCAGGCCGAGGAGGAGCAGCAGGGCTGCCCACCTCGGAATGTTGTTCATTGCAGTCGCTTTAGTACGTCATTGCCAGTGGAATTGCCCGTTGCCTGTTGCCTGTTGCCCGCCGTTTCCCGTTGAAACTGTGAAAATGAAAAGCGAGAGGAGTATTCGCTTAATTAAAACGTATGCCTGCCCGGGAGTCAATTGCTGCTCTCCGGGATGAGCGAATTTCCGTGAACATGCGCTCGAATGGAGCGCCAGAATGTGGCAGCGATTCATAGCGATTCTGTAGCTGCTCCTGGCAATAGCACGCCTGTCAGGCAGAGGCAGCAACTCATTAAAATTGTCGGCTTGCCTTTAGTGTTATTACCGGCTGTGCCTTAA